TTTGTTTGTCGTTACATTTTATAAAATAGTTAAACAAAAATAGAGAAAGTTTCGCCAATTTAATTAAAAAATTGTATAATAACTGAAAAAAACAAAAAATTACTTGAATCAAAAACAAAGAGAGTGCTTCGGATCGATTTGGATAAATTTACATATAGTGTTGAAAAAAAGAATTTCAAATTGCTACTAATCAAAACATCAATCAATGACATGATCTCATTTTCGTACAATTTTCAAAACTATTTAAAATCTGAGATTAAAAACAAACTTAGTTAAAAAAAAATATCAAAAATATAAATGTCAAACTTACGTTGTATTGTATTGACTAAACGAACTTAAAACCGCTAATGATCAAAGACAAGTCAATAGCAGAATCCCACGTTCGAATAGTTTTCACAATTGTGTAAACCTAACCTAACACTCAAATTTCTTGAATAAAAATCCAAAGATTAGAAGTACTTGGAAAATACTTAGTAAAAAAATATATCAAAAATTTACATTGTAACGTGTCGACTAAACGAATTTGGAACCGCTAACAATCAAAGAAAAGTCAATGACAAGATTCCACTTCCGAAAAGTTTTCACAATTATGTAAACTCAACTCTCAAATTTTTTTAACTAAAATCTGAATATTAGAAATACTTGAATTCTTTAACTAAAATCCGAAAAATTAAAATATTAGGTAATTTTTTTTTTTGAAATTCGAAAATCACTTTGCAAAAAAAAAAAATGAGAGCGTGAAAAGATATATAAAAGAAAAAAGGATTAGTGAAAGGCTTTATTATAATTACAGTGGAACTTTGCGCCGATGAAGAAGACTTGTTACACATATCACATCTACAAAACAAAACAAAAATACAGAGAATCACTTAAATTAAGCATAATGATTGATTCTAATTAAAGGCAAACTACTCTTCTTGGGCTAAGCGAAATCATATTCTGGGCTTTCACAAATAAACTATTGAGTTAAGGCAACATGGTTCTTGTTGTTTTTTCAAGCTCTTCTACTCTACTAAATGGTTCTTGTAAAACAAATCAAAACTTGAAACGCAAGAGTAAAAAAAAAAAAAAAATTCAAACTTTGAGCAAAAAGTATTCACGATCAGGATTTTTCTCTGTTTTCAAAGCAGTGAATAATCAAATTAATTATTAACAAAATCATAATCCAGTTTCTGTACCATGATCACGTTTTGAAGTAAAAGAGTATGGATTAATTAAAACTTACCCTGTCAGTTTTGGTTCGTCGATCAGCACAAACAAGTCATGGCTTGAGCAAAAAGGCATCCATGATTTGGGTTTGTCCTCTGTTTTCAAAGCAAAACACAATCAATCAATCATATAATCCAAATTTCATAACATGAAACAGACAAAACAGTAAACCCATCTTCTTGTTATTTTTGTTTTATGCGGATTACAGGTTTTTCATGGGTTCAATTGATGAGAATTGACAAATTATAAAACCATAAATCAACCGACAAAAAAAGCATCATACTTTCTTCAAAAAACCATCGCTTTCTAAATCAACTCCGAGTCTAAGATTATAAGTTTTGTAACATACCTGAAAGAGTTTGGCTTGATCAAAAAGCTTCCACCTTTGTCGTATTAATCGAAACAGTATTAAACGATCGAATAGAAGAAAGGAACAGAAGTAAAACACAGAGACTTTTGTAAGAGAAGAAACGAAAGCT